CATCGATTGCTTAGCCTTACGTTGCCCTTCCAAAGAACATCAGGAAGGCGTTGCGTAACAGTTATATTCATATATTTCCTGTGGCAGTTATTAGTAGTAGGCCAACAGTTATTAGTAGTAGCAATTATCATTGGTAGGTCACTTTCTCATTCCAGTTGTGTTAGGCAGTTATTTCCCAATTTTTAGGAGGCTGTTTAATCTTTCAGTGTTTGTATTCAAAGTTATTTGAATTCAGTGAAAGGTATGCAGAAAATTATTCCTGCCTTTGAGTACTTCAACTCAAGAGATTACAGGTTCTCTCTTAACGAACCAGCACCATAGGTCGAAAAAAGAAAACCTCTTCCCAAACTAACTCTGATTTTATTAGAGACCGTAACAACTTGGTATCACAACCGAGAGTTATTAGAGACCAAATGCAACAACAATTAGCACAGTTGGTGAACTTGTTCCAAGAAACACGCTTGGATGCAACCACAAAGGATTTAGCAAATTCGAAGGCCGATTTTGAATCAATCAAAAATACCAGTTATAATCGAGGTTGGAAGGGTAAAGCTGGAGTTGGAAGGTCAGGATCAGAAACTGGAGGAAGTTCCAGAATTCCCAAATATACAAAGTTGAATTTCCCACATTTTAGTGGCCAAGACGACCCTTTGGGATGGTTGAATAGGTGCGAACACTTCTTTCGACACAAGCAAACTGCATTCCCCTCTAAATGTTGGACGTGCTTCTTTTCATTTAGAGGGGAATGCACAACTCTGGTTCCTTCAACTAGAGACAGATATGCCTCAACCATCTTCGATGAATTCAAACGTCAATGAAACCTTCGTTCTGGGCCACCAATAAGTCAAAAGTTGGGAGAATTGGCCAAGTTGTGCCAGGTCGGGTCTGTGGCAGATTACCAGGAAAAGTTTGAGCAATTGGTTTCGCAGGCTGGTACCCTCACACAGTCGCAGGAAATTGAACTTTATATCAGTGGTGGTCCTGCTGACTATATAGCAACTGAAGTTGCATAACCCTCCAGATTTGGCGACCGCAATGAGTATGTCCCGGCTTTATGAACGCAAGGGACAACCCCTTCATTCAGAATTATCAGATGTCCGTAGATCAAAGACAACAAATTTCTCATCGCAACAACACACCAGATTTGTAAAGAAATTGACCAGATCTGAGATGGAGGAAAGACGCCTTAAGGGACTTCGTTTCAATTGTGATGAACCATTCACCCAGGCCATAAATGCAAGAAATTATTCTGGATTGAATCTATAAAGGAAGAGGAGAAAGAATCTGACGCACAAGAGTCATATCCTAACCCTAATTTGCCTACCAACAACGCTTTCCATACTTCCCACTTGAGGATAAACGCGATTTGACGAAGGGGAGTAATGTTAGCACCCCTTTAGTCTACCAACGAATTACACATGGAAAGTTTCAGAAGATCAGGAAGTAGACGAACTCAGCAAGTTTAGGCATCTGTTAGTCATGTTCATATATATCCTGTGGCAATTATTAGTAGTAGCAGTTATTAGTAGTAGCAATTATCAGTAGTAGGCCACTTTCTCATTCCAGTTGTGTTAGGAAGTTATTTCCCAATTTTTAGGTGGGTGGTTAATCCATCAGTGTTTGTATCTAAAATTATTTGAATTCAGTAAAAAGTATGCAGAAAATTATTCCAGTCTTTGAGTACTTCAACTCAAGAGATTGCAGGTTCTCTCTTAACGAACCAGCACTATAGGTCGAAAAAAGAAAACCTCTATCCAAACTAACTCTGATTTTGTCTTACAGCGTCCAATAACTAGATCTATAACAGGGGACCGGGACAGAAACTTACCAATCATATCTTTGTTAAGTATCTTCAATTCCGAGTTGTTGAAGCGAATCATGGCCAACAAGGAATACACGTCTGGACGTTTGGTACCGGAAAACTACTATTCCTTTATATGCTGCACGTGGTACACCATCCTGATGAAATGAACAGTTAGTGCAAGTTTTACGGAAAGCAAAAGGAGAACCATGAAAGAGGACAAATCCAGTCACAGCTAGTGTGAATAGACCTGTCCATGGTCCAGGCAAAGAACAGATATGGGCCAGTCAATGGTCAATATTAACATCCTCAAACATATATGAAATGGAATAAAGATGGACCAAGCTACTTATGAAGGTAAACACAATTAACATCACTATGGTCGGGCTATCATAGATCTAATTTCAACTCCACCCCACCCTTTCCCATAGGACTGGCCTTGAGCAACAAATAGGTGTTAAGAAAATTTTATCTTTAAATTTGAAAACTATAATATTGAATATTAATCTAGGCTTTATTTACCAAAAAGTAACTAAATTTGCAGAAACAGTTTGTTTAAGAATTAAGTAATCAATTAACCAAGTAACCAAAGCCACAAATAAAACAAGTAAATGAATATAGCTCAATCTAAATTGTAACCTATGGAACTAAAAGATCTCCTCCTATTTCATTTTCACTAATTCTATTTAAAATGGCTATAGATCAGTCTAAATTTTAATATATGAACCTAAAAAATCTCCTATTTCATTTTCACTCTTCTATACATGTGGTATAAAACCCAGAATGAATACATATCAGAATATAATATATCAACCTATCCAAAAGAACACTTTCTATATCAATTATATGAAAGTTATGAATTATAATAAATATATGAGGCCAAACAGAGGCCTAACACGGTCCAAGTATTGCCCAAATTGGCAAACCTCATTTTTTGTTCGCGCAGACGCAGCCTCTAGCCCAAGCACATATTGCATGGAAAGTTACCGGGGCCCAAGCCCATAGATAGGCATAAGTGAAAGAGGAGATGGCAAGCATGTATTTCAAATTTCACCTCCATTTGCACCTGAATTCTAGAAGGGAATGAGTTGTGCAACTGGATTCTGATTGCTTACTCTAACAATAAGAGCACCTGCATATTTTTGCGTCACAATACTATTACGAGCGTTTGTGATATCAGATCAGCAACTGTTTGCATTGATGATATATCGAAAGAAAATGTCATATGGCTGTGAAACAATAAATCTCCAAATGGTAAAAGGATAAAATCAGGCATGAATTTTGAACTGCTGAACAGTCTGTTTCAAAGTTAAGTAGATAGACAGCTCATATGCTATACACAGCCATACTCGACATACATAATGACTGCATCTAAAGAACCCACTCAAACAAATATGATCAAATCTCAGGCCATAATCAATTCAATATGAAGAGAAGAGTCACATATGCATTACCTTCCATTCTTCAAAAATGCCAAATTGCCGTGCGATATTTTCAAAGTCTAGTTGATCTCTGTACTGAATACGCACATCACCATCTATGTTAAATGCTTTCAAGACAGCATCAGCTCCATGGATGGGCTTAGCCTTTTTAACCAAGTCACCAAAGTGTTTCACGTAATTGTCCTGAGAACACGAAACCACAAGTTACCTACGCAAGATGGTTTAAATGACAAATTTCTCAATCAACCATCTAATAACTTGTCAGCATTCATAAGTGCTCTAAATTTTTCAGCACAAAAATAATCTTCAAGTCATTACCTCCAAAAGGTAACTAAGGTCCATTGACTTCCAATCAACCTTCCAACAAAATTCAAGGTAGAATACATGTCATACAAATGGAAAGAATGGGTAAGCAAGAAAAGGGGTGACGGCAATAAAATAAAATAACATGCCTGGACATCATTTAGTTTAATTGGCTCAAGATACTGCTTGAAAAACTGCCCCAAACTAGAACCCTGCAAATAACATAAGATTGTTGACAAGGTTTAAGGAGAAGTTTCTGTAAACGAATATCACACCATTGAAGATCAAAATTCAAGCTCAACTATTTCTACTGAGCCAAAGTCATCTAGCACTGATTTCAAGGAGCACATACATGCTCACCAAAATTATATGTTCTGCAAACTTCTGGGCGAATAAATTGTCGACCTCTGTGATTCTCTTTGAGTCTTAGCCAGTCGTCCCAGTAAGTAAAAGTAAGGTCAAAGAAAATATTTGAAGGTTCCAAGGTAGTCAATTTAGGCAAGAAATAAGCACATCAGTTCGAAAGGATATGCCTTTGGCCACTTTGGAGATAATTCGTCCCAAGTAGATTTTGAAAGCATCCATCCAAGACCGGGAAAAAAATCTGAGCGGTAAAGAGCATCTGCAGTGTAAATTATAAAGCATTTCAGTGAGATCAGAAAAGCGGGGCTCTTTTTACTTTGCTAAAAATCACCTAAATAATATCAATATATTCCGCAACATTGAGAAGAAAACAATGGGATTAACCTCCATGGAGGATATACTTTTGCTCAGCCCAACAATGAAATCAATGGGGTAAAAACACGCAACTCTTTTTTTTTTTTTGGACAGTCCAAATATTCAATCGAAGCCCCACAATCCTAGAAAGGACTATGGATTTGAAAAGAGAACCGTGGCGTCCCAAAATTTTCTCTTACGACAATCTTAGCCATAAAATATTTGTGTTTGTACCAAAAGAACAAGTCACTTACGAATGCTTGATTCACATGCGAAAACGATTGGCTCTTATCAGTTCAAGAAAAGGTAATTCCCTGTCCTAAAATTTTTAAAAATATATTTTCTTTTCTTGTTTCTGCTTTCCAATTTCTCATAAAACTTCCTGTTACAACTCCAATGAGCAAATTTTCAACTTTTCCCCTTTTTCATTGGTTTCTCCAAAACGAGAAGAGGAGACGTTAAAATTCAGTACTAAGCAGCTACCGACTGTTCCGACACGCCCTTGATCTATTTTGATAAAGACCAAAAACTTATCTCTAAAATGGAGCCTAGTTTAAGCTGTCAAACAAGTGATGATTGAATGAAAGAAAAACCACTAGTATATTGTAACACTACCAATCTTCTTACTGATGCTTGTATTAGCATGAGTAATATGATTCAATTTCAAGTTGATGATTAAAAAGGATATGGGTTGAGCAAGGAGAAAGAGAGACAATGGCAGAGAAATTCAGGAACCAGTCACAGAAAGAGAGACATGTGGCAGACAAATCCAAGAACCAGTCATAGAAAAGGAATAAAGGAAAAACTGCAGAGGTATATCAAAAGTAAAGTACTCAAAGGCAAATCGTTTACGCTGTTTAGAATATAATTTCTTTCCAGGAATCAAAAACAAAATGAAGTATAACCATTCAACAGAACAGAAAAAGAAACCATCTGCACTAAGCAGTGTTTGGGTTTCTTCATTGAACAACGGCCTATGATATTTCTAATTGAAACAGGAGAAGAGTTCAAAAGAAAAATCATAACCACCAATCGCAAAGGACAAAAAAAGAAGTAAGAAAGAAAAAACTTACAAGGATCTTGGACAAACTGCATTTGTCCATTGTCATTCCAAGAAGAAATAGGCATAATCGACCTGGGATGTTCACCATAACAATTTAGGAAATTCTTGTAACATACTTGGGACATTTAGAACAGGCTTTTTATCCCCATGTTTTAGGCTAATCCCATTCTAGTTCGTTCACTATACCACTTAGCATATTTGGACATCAGTCCATGAGGGAAAAGCTTTTAATCCTTTTGCTAAGAATGTTATATAACCAAAATGGAAATCAATCTATCCCCCTCGCTGCAATCAGATTTTCTCCTATCACAAGCCTGGAAGAGCAGGAGATCTTGGATGCTGTCGAATCTGATTATGTTGGTTCTTTAAAGAAAATGAGGGGGGAGTTGGACACGAGTAAAAAAATAGTAATTTTCCTCAGACTAGGATAAATTGAATAATTCTTTGTGTTAGAATAGTTATGTAAATAGGAGTAAATAACCCTAATCCCATATGTATTCGGAGTAGGACATGTTATGTATATATATATATATATATAGGGCTCATTGTATTGTGTTTAATATAAGAGAATAATATCAATAATATTTTCTCCCGTGCATTCTCACATGGTATCAGAGCAGCAGTGAGAAAATATCCGGGAAAGAAAACCCACCCAAAACAGTCATCGTGCATCAATTCCGACGACCTTTTAGGGCTGTTTTTCGAGAAAAAATCAATTTCCATCGGTGTTGTGCAAAAACCAACACCACCACAACATCCCCCAACCCCCGGCGACCAAACCCCATCAAACACCTCCGGCAGACAACCTCTCACGCGCCGCCACGCGCCGCCCGGAGGATTTTTTTTCCGGCGAGATCTGCTTCACGCGCCGGCGAGTGGAGCCCTTTCCGGCCATTTTTTGACGACGGATCTTCAGAACAGTTGGGTCGGCTACTAATTCTGACCCTACCCATCCTCTTTTCGTTTGATTCCGACCATTTTGAGGTTTTTCCGGCAGCTACAGTAATTTCCCGGCAAAAACAGTGTTTCCTTCATCTGTTTCAGCGAGTTTTCACGATGTATTTGGGAGTCGATGCTTTCGGATCTAAAAAACCGGGTTCTGGCAGTTCCGGTGTTATGATTACCTCAGAACCTTTAATGGGAGGTTCACACTACTTAGCTTGGGCTTCGTCTGTCGAGTTGTGGTGTAAAGGTCAAGGAGTTCAAGATCATT